AATAAAATAAAAAATAAAAATAAAAGGAGGGAAGACTCCAGAACACATCCGACCAGCCTCTCGACTGACAGACCACTGGGTGCTGTCACCTTTTGGCCATTACAAGTGATGTGGGGAGGGCTGTTCTTGTACCTGCATCTTAGTGCTTCCGTTCCCGCCGGATGCATCCCTGGGCATGGCGCTGCAAGGTCAGAGGGGAGATGGTTCAGACCTCGGGTGGATGGTGGCACATGGCCTTCCAAACGCACGCTCCCCGTGTATCCCAGACGACAGCGCGTCACAGGCTGTCTCTCTGCCCGTCCCCCCCCCACCTCCACCCCCCCTGCAGCTGGGGTTTCCGAATCATTGCCCTGTCTCGCAGTCTGGGGGAGAGAATTGCACTATGCTGCTCTGATGGGCACTTCTGTCGTGTTTCATGAGGCGGAGTGTCTTCTCCAGGCTCTTTTGGGCACTCGCACTTATTTTTCGGTAAACAGCGTATTCATACCCTTGGCCTATTCTTCTATTCGTTTTTAAATAGGATTTGCAGGAGTGTTTTGACAGTTAAGGAAATAGGCTGTTGGTAAGTTTTTTGCAGTGGAATTACTTTTCCTTCTCCGTCACTTGTTTTTTGAGTTGTTTTTTTTTTTTCCCCGCATAAAGGATTTTTGTTGTATATTTGGGGGGCTCTATAAAAATTTAAATTAATTATATAGTCCTATTTGCTAATCTTTTATTTTATAGATTTTATAATCTTTTATCTTTTATAGTCACGTGTAGTGGGGCCTTTTCCTACTCAATTTTTTCTTTTTCCAATTCCTTCCTGGTTTGTTTTTTACATTTGACCCTATGGTACTTTTGGAATTTATTTTCCTATAAAAAAACAGGGTAAAGATACAACTTTATTATTTTTTTTTAGAGGACCAACCGTTGTTTATTGAGTACTTAAGCCACTAACTTGCCCAGCAGCTTTGTTTTCCACTCTGTAAGCCCATGGGAGAGGTCGTGGTGTGGTCCCGCCGCCCTGTCTTCTGTCCCTCCGTGTCCACCCCTCCCCACCCTGACACTGCTTGGGCCTGCGTTGGGGTGGGAGCCACCCCGGGATCAGAGTAGCGTCCCTTTCTGCCGGGGTCACCCATGTCCACAGTCCTCCAGCGTCTCCGGCCCGCTCCTGGCCCCGTGATGCTGCAGCTCCGTGCGCCCCTGCTGACCAGGGCTGCCCATCACAGGTGGTCTACTACGTGTTTGCCATCATCGGGATGGAGGCATTCCACGGCAAAGTCCGGTTCTTCGACCCAAATTTCACCACCCCCGATGCTCTGGTGTGTGGGAACCCAGCCTTGAAAGACTCAGCGTTTGCCCGAGACAGGTACTGCAAGAATAACTTCAATGACCTGGCCTCCTCGCTCATCGTGCTGATGGAGCTCACGGTGGTTAACCAGTGGCACGATATCCTTTCTGCGCAGGCGTCCGAGCCCCGGGGGCTGCCTGCTCCCTGGGGTGGGGGTGGGGGCGCCCACAGGAACATCCAGGGCGGCTGCCGAGCTCCCCGAAGGTTTGGTTCCTTAGCTGCGTACTCCTCGCAGGCGGCTTTGCCCTCGTGACTCACCAGGTGGCAAAGCTGTACTTCCTCAGCTTCCATGTTGTGGTCGTCATCCTCATCGTCAAGTGAGTTGACTCCCGCCCCCTTGGCAAATCCACGTCTCCTCCCCTCTCCCTTGGTCTGACTTTTGTTAGCACTTGTGTTTATCATTGTCTGCCGGGGCACATCTGTATAGGATACACGTCTCGTAGTCTCGTTAGTTGTTTGGGTCAGAAGGACCCTGGGGTCCCGGCCAGTCTCCCTCCCCTTCCCCACCCAGACCGAATCCCTTGGGAGCATCCCTGAACGCACCGTTCACCCTCTGCTTAAATCCAGCCATCTGGTGGCTTCTCAGAGCCCCAGAGTCAGTTCCCTAGTTGTCCCACTCTGGTCTGTCCCTGTCCTTGCACAGGTAGGACGGCACTGTGCCCCTGGTCTGTCCTGGCCCCTCTTCCAGGAGAGGCCTCAGTCACTGAGCGGCGCTGTGACATCCGACCACTCGGAAGCGCTTCTGTTCCAGCGTCTCTGATTCTAGCTCCTTGGTTCCTCATGGGACCTGAGCCTGAGTCCCCTTGAAGGCTGGAATGGTCTTCCAGAGAGGTTTTCCAGTTGTCATACCTCTCTCACAGCCTGGGGCCTGCCATTTCTGGGGGGACAGCCCAGTACCTGTGCTTTCCTTGTCACACCAGGCCCGCGGTGGCCGGCCACCGTCGTACTGACTTCGGCTCCGGAGTGACTCGAGAATCCTGGCCGAGGGAGGGGAGGGGAGGGGAAGAAAGCCCGTGCGTAGCTCCCGTCGGGCTGCTTGTCCTCACACAGGCTGGGTGGAAGGCGTAGAGGGAACAAGAGAGAAACGCCTCTCTGGGTGGCTCCTGCCGAGGTTGCGAGGTTGCCGGAGCGCGGAGACCAGCAGGGGCAGGGGTATTTCTGCCGCTCTCCTCTCAGACGCAGGCGGGGGTTGTGGGAGCCCTGGGCTCCACCGTCAGCGCTGTTACGTCGGAAATGGTGAAGGGTCTGAGAGTCTCCCCGACCTGCCAGCCAGCAGGTTAGTCTGTGTGCCTATGCTCCAGAGAGGCACGGACAGAAAGCACGGCACCTTGGGTCGGGGACGAAGACAGTTTATTACTTGGGTCGGTTTCCCGAAACTTTGTCCCCACCGAGCAGTGTGGCGAGCACCAGCTGGAGTGGGAGTGCAGGAGGGAACCCCAAAAGAAGGAAACTGATCTTACAGAGGGCTGCTGGGGCTTGTCTGTCCTCCCCTGTGGAGAGAGAGAGAGGGACTTTAGTTTCACCTGGAATGTAAGCAGATCCCCAGGGAGGGCAAGGTGAGCTCTTTATCTTTGTTATTCTGGACTGTGTCTCGGGGGAGGCATCGCTGAGCTTTCCATCTTGGGATGTCTCCGTAGACAAACATCCCTAAGTTGGCCCCCAGTGCCTTTGCTCAGACCACCTGGGCTGTGCAGAAACTTGAGATATTCACGGAGGACTGTTTACCAGCAAGTATTTGGCTTAAGCTTCCCCTAGAAAGAAACCATATTTTCTTTTTAACATTCACTGTTTATTTTTATTTATTTATTTATTTTTTAAAAAGATTCTATTTATTTATTTGAGAGAGAGAGACACAGCGAGAGAGGGAACACAAGCAGGGGGAGTGGGAGAGGGAGAAGCAGGCTTCCCGCGGAGTAGGGAGCCTGATGTGGGGCTCGATCCCAGGACCCTGGGATCATGACCTGAGCCGAAGGCAGACGCTTAACGACTGAGCCACCCAGGCGCCCCAATATTCACTTTTTAAATAAGTTATACCAGAAGAATGGCAAGTTGTGTCCAATCCTTGAGAGATGTTGCATCTGTCATTTCTCCCTTCCGCGTTGTGTTGTCTTTGCAACTATTTGCCTTCTTGTTTCGGCTCAAACACTCTTTGGAATGAGGATCCCCTGTTGCCTGGACCACGGCTCACACCCTGTACCTCTCACCCTTTCTCAGTATTTTCATAGCGTTCATCTTGGAGGCATTTTTTGTGGCGTACTCCTTAGAAAAAAGTGAAATCGAAACTGCCATCGAGAAGAAGATTCAAGAGCTTGGAGTGGGAATCCAAGAGTGAGTAGTGGGTTCCCTCTGGTGTCGTCGCTCACTGGCCATGTTCACTCCCTCAGTGCCCTGTGGTGTCCGGCATGGGCCTGTGTGCCGTCCTCAGGGACCCTCACTGACGAGAGGAGAGCCCTGGATGCGGCTGGACGGTGCCACGGGGCCATGGCTGGGAGGACGCGTGAGGGACTCAGCTGAGGGACCTGACCCTGTTCATGTCTCTTCTTCCTTGAAGAGAAGAAATGCAGGATGGGAAGCTCGTTGATAACATGGACGCCAAGGACAGTGGCTTTAGTGGGGATGATGGAGACAACAAAAGGAAGTCCTTGAAAGGATTGTACTTCAGAATTGCATCAAAAAGTAAGTTTTAACCCAATGCAAAACTTCTTCCAATCCATGCTCCTCACTGCAGCTGGTGAGGTGTTTCCAGAATGCAAATCTGACCCGCCATGCCGGCTGCATGCCATTTTGTCATTGAGTGACAGTTTGGTCACTGTCTGTCTTCCTTGTAGACTTGAAGCTCCCTTTGTGCTGGGCCCTGTCTTTTTGCCTCCTGTGGTAACCCCAGGGCCTCACTCTGTGCCCAGGGCATGGGGGCCCTTCACAACTTAGTCTTTAAGGGCTTTATTCTCCATGCATCAGCGGTGGGCTGAGTAACCCAGAGCAACCTGTCACTTTGGGCCTTGGCCGGGGTGCCTGCACTTAACTCAGAATGAGGAGCACAGCATAGATTGCAGGCGCAGTGACATGAGCAGGACGCCCCTACCAGAAGTTACCCTCCTCCGTCCTTCAGGGAAGACCTGCTCCTTGGTCTCCAGGGCCTTGCATGGTTGCGGAGCTCCGTAGAGTCCACACCAGCAGAGATGAGTGATTCTTTTCTGACTTCGTCATCCTTTCTTTCAAAGGCTGTTTGGCTAGCCATGCTTAGAGCATTGTCTTTGACTCAGGAGCCATCCTTCCAGAAAGCTGAGCTCTGCCCGGGCTGCTCCCCTCCAAGTCCAACACATGCGAGCTCCACGTGCCTTTCTCCTTCCTCCCAGAGTACAGGACCGTGGATGCCCTGCTGCAGCAGATGTTCGAGTCCGAAATTGCTCCAGAGGATGAAGGCCCTTCCTTGGATGAGATTCTGAACTTCTCGCCCGGTGACATATATCCCAAGAATCCCAATTTTGAAAACAGTGCGTGATTCTGGCCTGGAAGGGTCCACACCTGGAAACCAGGCTAAGCTGCCATCACGTCTTGCGCATGCTTTCTGGAGGTGGTTTTCCCAGCCCGAGTTGTCTCTGTGCCCTGACCAGCCTGCGCTTCGGCCGCACGGGCCCGGAGTGGTCGGTGGAGAGATGTGGAGAGGCTCCTTCTGTGTGCCCCGCCTGGGGTGGTTCTGGGGTCTGATCAGAGCAGTAAGGAGGGGCAAATCTATGAAGAGATTATGAGGAGCACTTATCTTACACATGTCCGTCCGTACGTGTGAGAAGTCCTTTCCGTGGGGATATGAAAGCTTTTCATTTATTTTTATATGATATTTTGCTATTCTATTAAATCCTGTGCTACAGTGTCACGTGAATGACTTTTGAATATTTAAATATGGTAAAGGAATATATCTAGTATAGAAGCTCTTTGATGCGGTGTTTATTCAAAATGAAGAAAAACATGAATGTGAAAAGAAAATTCTGTCAGAGTTGCTTCTTTTTCTGGGGTAGGCTCTCAAAGCTTCTTTAATTAATGACACTGATAGCAAGATTTTGAGCAAGTCTCTCTCCGAGATCACTTTCCCCAGCTGGAAATCTCCCAATGCAGTGACACGCTCCTTCTGGGAAATTAAAATCATTTTATTAACATTTTTTAATTGTGGAAAATACTCATAACATAAAAGTCACCATCATAACCAATTCTAAGCATATAGTTTATTCGCTTTAAGTATATTCACACTGTTGTGCAACAGATCTCCAGAACTTTTGATCTTCACACTGGCTACCCCTCGCCCCCCCAGGCCCCGGCAAGCACCATTCTACCTTCCGTCTCTATGAATCTGACTGCCGTACCTCACAATCGCATTTTGAGCACGTTGTCAGGATATAGCTCCTCATTCTTCTGTACCTCGTCCCGGGCCCCACTATAAGGCAGGGGTCCTTGACCTGAGGTCTCCGAGTGCAGTGAGGCCTGAGTCATGTGTCCTGTCAGAGTGACAACGGAAGTTAGCTTGGGAGGGCCGCCTTTTCCTCGGTTCTGAAGGTGACCTCTGGTGTAGGAGCAAAGTCAAGGTTTCGGGCACGGACTCTGGGGCCAGATCGTCTGGTATTATACCCTCCTCCCCACTGACCATGCCCTGTAATCGCTGTGTGCCCCCTTTTCTCCCCTGCAGTTGGGATAGATGGTACCTCCCTCCCAAGACTGGGGGGCTGAAGGAGGAGGAGGACGGGCGAGCTTGCTCTCACAGAGTGCTGTTCCTGGTTCAAAGCCACACCTGGTATTCAGTATTGCTGCTTTAGAATTTCGTTACCATAATGATCCCTGGAAGGTGGGGCGTCACTGACCCATCTCATGGGATTTATGGAGTCCTGCCAGCCTCCAGACTGCTCTTATTCCTTTGTATAGCTAACATGTATCGTTATACTAAATATTATACACTCCATGTACCGAGTGGCAACTTCATTTTTTTAACTTGAACATGTGCTGGGCATTTTTAGATGAGGAACTATGCAGTCATTGTAAAAAAACAACAAAAAAACCAAAAAGACAGAAATATAGTAAAAAGTCAGAAGTTGCTCTGTATTCTTGCTTCTCCTGACGCCCACCTCCCCTTCATTCTTCCACTCACAATCTGAGGCCCCCTTCCCAGTGGTGATGCTGAGTTTGTTGTTTGTCCTTCTGGAAACACACCTACCCATTTACAGTCATGTCTGTCATGCATATGAATATATAATGTGCAGTGGACCCTTGACCAACACAGGGTCAGGGGGTAGGGTCACTGACCCCAGCACAGTCCCAAATCTGCATATCACTTTTTACTCCCCCTCAAAACTTTACTAACAGCCTACTGTTGGCCAGAAAAGCCTTGCCAGTAACATAAACAGCTGATTAACACATAATTTACATGTAATGTGTAGTATATACTATATTCTTACAATAAAGTAAGCTAGAGAAAATAAAATGTTAAGTCATAAGGAAGAGAAAATACACTTAGAGTACTGTAGTTTTTTTTAAAAAATCCATATATTAGTGGACCTGCCTATGAGTTCAAACTCATGTTCAAGGGTCAACTGTAATTGCATTTTTTTATCCTAAAGTGGGATGTCATGACATTTTTATATATATAGTTCAAGAATCTTTTTTCACTTAGCAGTATTTTTCATCTTGAGATGTATGTGTGCCTATATACATACACACACAAAATGCTGCCAAGTGTTCCTACCATCGGTGTTTCCTGATTTATTGAAGACTTGACCTATTCACGGACCTATACGTTGTTCCACCTGTTCGACATTAAACAGTAACAGAGTAAACCTTGTTGTGTAATTTTCTTCATGGCTGAGCCCTTGGGGGAGAGAGCCTGGGACCAAGTACTCCGGACTTGCAGCAGCCCCTGTGGCCACCAGGGGGCCCCACCGCCCCCTTCACGGGAACAGTCTCAGAGGAAGGGGAAGCAACAGTTGTGGTGGCCGTTGGCCCCTTTCTCTGGGTCTTTCTTCTGCCTTTCAATGAAATTGTCACCCCCACGTTTTGGCACATGGTCTCCCAGCTGGGCACTTCATTCCTGTCTCCCCGGCAGGGGGATGGGGCAATATGATTGTGTCAGCCCCTGGGGCTCTGAGCCCAATCTGGGTTTGCACCTCACAGGTCCTGCCCTTGGGAGTAGGCTCTCCATCTTGTCCACTTCCTGACTGAGAATGGCAACCATCAGAACATCCTGGAAGCCTGTGAAGGGCGGCAGAGTCAGTGCCCGCATGCCATCACGTCCCCCTAGACTGTAACAGGAGACTGAAATCACGTGTCTTTTCTAAGCTACTGTGTCTGTGTGTGGGGGTGGGGGTGGGGTTCTCTCTTATAGCACCTTAGCCTGCTTATAACCTAGCCAGTCCAGAAGTGGGTTTGTCTGAAACATTCCAGAATGGAACCGATGGACAGATGGATTGGCTCCAGTGATGGGGGAAATGGAAGACCAAGCATGAGGACTCCTAGGATCAGTGGCACAGAAAGGTGTGGAGTAATAATAGCTTGCAGGTGTCCTTAGAGACTATGCCAAATGCCCAGCTATTTAGGAGCTCTTGCCACTTATAGTTCCATAGTCTTTGGAAAAATAAATTTTAGAATCATTGCCTTAGACCACAGATATGATCCAGAGGGGAAAGGCACTGATAAGCGGAGTCTCTGAATCTCCTAAGGGACCAGATTGATTCTTAGCTAGAAGTTAGAATGTGGAGTCCGGGGCCAAGAATGAATAGGAGATGCCTTGACCCAAGATAGATATTAAATCTGAACCTACACTGAGTCTAGCCAATGTTGGAGCACTTAGCATGACTTGCACCCCTGCTCAGCTTTGCAGGAGACACAGATGGATAAGACCCAGCTCTGTCCTCAAGGAAAGTTCAGTCTCCTTAGTGGAGTGAGCTGCGTTTCCTCCCTCCCAGTGCTGACTTCTCATGCATCCGTTTCAGCTGTCCTTTAGATAGAGCCTTTTTCCTTGTGCAGATAAACATTGTGTGTGTGTGTGTGTGTGTGTGCAATGCAGACAACTAATTTATAATTAAAGATGATTGCTATAATTTGTACCAGGTAACGGACAAAAAAAAAAAAAGACTTTGGCTGAAATGCTCCAAGTAACTTACTTTGTTCAGATGGAGCCTTTCTCCCTGGAGACAAGTTGTTGCTAGGAAATGAGGCTGTGAAGTTTATTTAAGTAAAGCCCTTGGCGTAGATCAGACACCAGATGGGCAACAGCAGTGCTGGGACAACACCGTGGTCAGGCTGAGGCTGTTGGTGTGAATAACACGGAGGATATTTGGAGTGTGGTGGAAGCTGAAGATCCAGTAATAGCGAACGGGCTGGTGGGAACAGGGGCCAGACACCAAGTGTCCTCCCAGCCCAAGATTGAAGGCACCCACAGCGGCCTTTCATGGAGGGACACGCTTTGCTCTTAGTTTAGTAAACAGCACCCGTATCTTCTTTTGTCTTGCTTTCTTCTCAAAACAGTCATTTTCAAAAGAAAAAAAAGACCCCACAAACTTGGCTTTATCAGTACTCGGTTATGTTGACACTTTGAGTAAATATGGAAAGATAGGCAAGAAAACTAGAAAAGTACCATAATTTATGTTTGTAAGAAGAAGTGGATGGGTACTCCTTCAACATGATTAAACCCGTCTCCCTCAGGCCAGCGCTGTGAGCTTACTGGGTCAGCATGAGAAGAGCTCCCACTGGAGCCAAAGGTGGGGGCGGGCAGTGCTCAGCTCTCTTCTCAACAGCCAGCAAGAGAAAAATCACCAGTGAAAACCTGGGAAAGACATATGCAAGATTTTCATAGCGAAGACTATTTACTGGGAAACTTCAAAAGAATCATCTGAAAAGCTTCCCCCCCTCTGCCCCAAAACCAACAGGCTTCATGTATTCAAACTACCAGCTAGGAAAAATAGGAAAAAATTAGATCTGATTTAAGCAACCAAAAGTTTAGTCCTAAGTGTTTAAATTAGTACTAGTATAAAAAAATTAGAGGACCTTTTTTCTGTTTTTTTTTTTTTTTAAGATTTTATTTATTTGTCAGAAAGAGAGCGTGGGCACAAGCAGGGGGAGCAGGAAGCAGAAGGGAAGGGAGCGGGGAGCTGGGAGCCCAATGCGGGGCTCGATCCCAGGACCCTGAGATCATGACCTGAGTGGAAAGCAGATGCTTAACCAACTGAGCCACCCAGGTGCCCACTAACATAAAATTTTAAATGCACTCACCTTTGACCCAGAAATTTGTTTCTAGGAATTAACAGATACATCATATAATGAAATATTACACAGTCATTAACAAAAATGAGACTATCCTATATGTAAATATAGTCTATACATTAAATTTAAAAAACCACAATTATGCCAGTTGTATGAAAAATATACAGAAATATGCATAGAATCATTCTTGAAAGATTAAAAAAAAATGAGTCATGGTTGCTCCTAGAACAGGCTGGGAGTTAAGGGTAGGAGGAAACAGTTCACTCTGTGCTCTTGAATTGGGTGTCACCGCAGATTTCTTTTCATCATAATGCTAAGGTAAGGAGGGAGGGATGGAGAAATGAAGTTCAGTTCAGGTTACAGGACCCTTCCAGCTTTAAAAGTCGATAAATGCTAAGTTGGCTGCTATAATTTTAGAGGTAATTAATGATTTATACAGCTTGTAAAACTATTTTCAAGATGGGAGATATTTCTTTGAATGGTACTTTAAAAAAATAAGCTTAAGATTTATACCTGTAATATTTCCCAGGGACAGCCCTGAAGAATGGTACAATAAAGAACAGGCAAATTTTGGGGCGCCTGGGTGGCTCAGTTGGTTAAGCATCCGACTCTTGATTTCGGTTCAGGTCA